CCCCCAGTTGAGGGCCCGGTTCTGCCCGGGCCCCGCCGGCCCCGACTCCCGCGGGAGCGTCACCACCTGCGGGGGCACTGCCCGCCGCCCCCCGTCACCACCCGCCGCGCCCGCGGGGCGCCGGCACCGCCACCGGGACCCCAGCACGGCACCGCTTGGGGACGGGGACACCAGCACAGGGTTCCCAGCCCAGCTTGGGGACAGGGTCACCAGCGTGGTACTGCCTGGGGGCAGGGTCACCAGCACGGGGTCCCCAGCCCAGCTTGGGGACAGGGTCCCCAGAACCATGCCGTGGCACCGGGACCCCAGCATGGCATCACTTGGGGACGGGGTCACCACCACAGGGTCCCCAGTCTAGCTTGGGGACAGGGTCACCAGCATCGCACCATGGCACCGGGACCCCAGTGTGGCATTGCTTGGGGATGGGGTCTCCACCACGGGGTCCCCAGCCTGGCTTGGGGACAGGGTCCCCAGAATCACGCTGTGGCACCGGGACCCCAGTGTGGCACCACCTGGGGACAGGGTCACCAGCACCGGGTCCCCAGCCTGGCTTGGGGACAGGGTCACCAGTGTGGCACCCAGCACCGTGCCATGGCACAGGGTCCCCAGCGTGGCACTGCTTGGGGACAGGGTCACCAGCTCAGGGATCCCAGCATGGCACCACTTGGGGACAGGGTCCCCAGCACGGGGTCCCCAGGATGGCATCCCCTGGGGACAGGGTGACCAGCACAGCACTCAGCACCACACCACGGCACAGGGTCCCCAGCACGGTGTGGCTTGAGGACAGGGTCCCCAGCAAGGAGTCCCCGGCCCGGCTTGGGCACCAGGTCCCCAGTGCAGCACCCAGGCCACGCCATGGCACTGGGTCCCCAGCGTGGCACCACTTGGGTGCAGGGTCCCCAGCACTGTGCCATGACACAGGGTCCCCAGCACGGCACAGATTGGGCACAGGGTCCCCAGCACAGGGTCCCCAGCTCCGTGCCATGGCACAGGGTCCCCAGGCAGTGTCCCCAACCTGGTGCCATGGCACAGTGTCCCCAGCCTGGTGCCATGGCACAGGGTGCCTGGCACAGCTCGGACACAGGGTCCCCAGCCTGGTGCCGTGGCAGTGTCCCCAGCCCCGTAGCATGGCACAGGGTCCCCAGGCAGTGTCCCCAACCTGGTGTCATGGCACAGTGTCCCCAGCCCGATGCCATCGCACAGGGTCCCCTCCCAGTGTCCCCAACCTGGTGTCACGGCAGCATCCCCAGCCCGGTGCCATGGCACAGGGTCCCTAGCACAGCACGGATTGGGCACAGTGTCCCCAGCACAGGGTCCCCAGCCCGGTGCCATGGCACAGGGTCCCCAGGCAGTGTCCCCAGCCTGGTGCCACACCACCGCATCCCCAGCACCGCGTGGGCGCAGCGTCCCTGGCACGCGGCCACGCCACAGGGTCCCCAACCCAGCCCTGGGCACCACGTCCCCATGCCTGGCAGAGATGTCCCCTCCCCTGGCCGACGTGTCCCCTCCCGGTGTCACTCACCGCAGCCGACCTCATCGGAGCGGTCGGGACAGTCGGGCTCCCGGTCGCATTGGTAGCTGGCACGGATGCAGCTCCCGCTCGCCACGCACCGAAACTCCGCCGGCCCGCACACCGCGCCGGGTGCTTTGGTAGCTGCAGCGGTGACGGTGACATGTGTCAACCGGGGCCGTGTCACCGCCCGTGTCCCCAACCGAGCCATACTCACGGCAACCGGCCTCATCGGACCCGTCCCCGCAGTCGTTCTCGCCGTCGCAACGCCAAAGCTTGAGGGCGCAGTGCCCGTTGCGGCACTTGAATTCGTTGGGTTCGCAGGGCGAGGGGGTGCCTGGGTGATGGGGGGGGTCAGCACCCACAGGGTGCCCCCCCCCACCCTCGCCGCGTCACCGCAAACTCACCGCAAGCTTCCTCGTCGCTGCCGTCGGCGCAGTCGGGCTCGCCGTCGCAGAAGTAATCGCGGGAGATGCAGCGCCCGTCGGCGCAGGCGGCCTCGCCCGGTTGGCACGCGCCCGCCGCC